AACTCTTTTAAATGTCCAACATAGCTGAACATTAAACATGAACAGTTTTTCCCCTTAACTTAAAAACACATAACACTAATTTCAACATTTACTCTCCCAATTCAGTCTGTATGGAAAGCAGTGCCGTCCTGAAGGGTTGTGGGGCCCAATAGGCAAGATAATGAAATTGGGCCCCACTAGTGTAAAAACTGTCATAGAAATTTGAGGACTGAAGAGAAAGCACATAAAATGACTATTTCAATATTTAAGTGTAAATGTGTATTAATTGTAGCACATTCAACAAACATATGTAAAAAATATTTAAATTAAAAAAAATAGGAGTGCAAGTAAGCTTGAGTAAAACGATATGCATGAAACAAATAAATAAAATATAAATGAACGAAGTATACATAAAAACTAAATAAAATAAACAGAGCATTAACAAAATAAACATAATACTCATAAATGACAAGAAATAGGGCCTGATTGATGATCACCAAAGAAAAAAAACAAAACTTTATTGCATTAGACATTGGATCTGGGTCTGTAATTATTTAATTTGGCTCAATTTTCCCTTATATGACAAGTCTGTCTGTGATCATGGGCATCATTGCATTTATAAAACAAGTACTACTGTTGTAACCAAACACAGCTTTGGACCCAAAAGCAGAACACAGACTAAAAATTATGCAAATCAAATTAATTTATTGCCAAAAGTCAAGCAACACAATCCATCTCTCCTTTGTTGAAGATTGTTGGCTGAGGTGAGCTGGAAACCAAACAGGCCAGAGATATGTTGGTAGAGCAGAGAGAATAGTTTGTTGATCGGGCATGGCAGGCAGAATGCAGGATAAATGCAGGTGGAGTGAGGTCTAAAGCACAGGAGAAACAGAATTAGAACTCCAACTAAGCACATGACACAAAAACTGGTCTAAAGACACTAGGAGGCCTCAGCACAGTACCACATAGGCAGACTGAACAATCTGGCAGAAAATGACTGAAGACCCAGGGTTTAAATACTGGAGGCAGATGAGTTGATTGGCAGCAGGTGATTCACATTCAGCAATCAGCCACAGAGAGGAGAGCATAGCCACACCCCGGGATACACCAACTCACAAACACACAAGCACAGACACACAAAAAGGAAAAACACAGCTGGCCAAAAATCCAAATCCCTGACAACAGTAATGCGTTACTTTACTAGTTACTTGAAAAAATAATATGATTACGTAACTCGCGTTACTTGTAATTCGTTACCCCCAACACTGCAAATAAATACACAGTTTTTACAGCTTTTTTGTTTGTACTCTCCTTAATGGTGCTTCTATAGATATCTAATTCCTTAAGTACCACAGAAAAAAGAGGTTTCTGATTGCTGAATTTACAACGGTGAATATGAACTTTAACAAGTATAATCAAGAGATTGATAATGTAAGTCTCATTTTCAAACTTCTTGTCAAAGCTCAAAAAGCCAAATATTACATGTTTTCAAATAGCTGTATCTCGGCCAAATATTGTCCTATCCTAACAAACCATACATAAATGGAAAGCTTATTTATTCAGTTGTTTATTCATGACCGGTTATGACTGGTTATGTGGTCCAGGGTCATATATATATATATATATATAAATAAATGATATATAAAATATGTATGCAAATTATTAAAATTAAGAGAACATTTCAAGTGAACACTGAAAAACTTACAAAATAAAGTGAGCTTTTGCTAAAAACGAGAATAAATATCTACCAATGGGGTCAGAAAAATAATCTTGTTTCTCTTTGAATCAAGTTTTTTTTCTCTCACCCCATTGACATATCAAGCACAAACCCACTTAGTTTTCGTAAAATTTTCAAAAACCAAAACTTAATATCTCCAGTCATTTTGCTACTAAAGTAAATACATCTTGATTGAAGAATGTTTAGATATTTGTACTGGAAAACCCCTGGAATAGCCTACAGAAGTGCACAAAGTTGGAAAAACTTATTTTTGAAACTTGCGCAAATGTATGCATTTTCCAGAAAATAAAACAATCGAACCAAGTGGCATCTGCAAATACATTTCTACTGTTGTAACCAAACACAGCTTTGGACCCAAAAGCAGAACACAGACTAAAAAATGATGCAAATAATTAATTTATTGCCAAAAGTCAAGCAACACAATCCATCTCTCCTTTGCTGTTGAGGATTGGCTGAGGTGAGCTGGAAACCAAACAGGCCAGAGATATGTTGGTAGAGCAGATAGAATGTTGATCGGGCGTGGCAGGCAGAATGCAGGATAAATGCAGGTGGAGTGAGGTCTAAAGCACAGGAGAAACAGAATTAGAACTCCAACTAAGCACATGACACAAAAACTGGTCTAAAGACACTAGGAGGCCTCAGCACAGTACCACATAGGCAGACTGAACAATCTGGCAGAAAATGACTGAAGACCCAGGGTTTAAATACTGGAGGCAGATGAGTTGATTGGCAGCAGGTGATTCACATTCAGCAATCAGCCACAGAGAGGAGAGCATAGCCACACCCCGGGATACACCAACTCACAAACACACAAGCACAGACACACAAAAAGGAAAAACACAGCTGGCCAAAAATCCAAATCCCTGACAACTACAGCAATAAATATTATGTATATAGCAGTCAAAACAGCTTTTTTTTTCAGCTCCGGAAAGATACAGTTTGGATTCCAACTTTACTTTAATCTTTCTTTCATTTCAAATAAATTAAAAATAGCATCAATGTGTAACAAGACTTCATGATGTTATGAGAGACTATTTTTCAGAGGCAATATTAAGTGAATTCCAAAATCTGAACTTTAACAAGAAAGGTTTTCAGACTAACTTTTTCTTTATTTACCAAAAAGTATAAAGAACACAGAGTTTGTTGTGCCTGTTTTTAGGGCTGCACAATTTGGCCAAAAATGTTGTTTTTATATATCAATATAACTAATTCTGATTATTATTACAACTAAATAAAAACATTAAACAAAACAATAATTATTGATAATGATTATTATCTATATATTTTACAGAAAACTGCAGCATGAACTGTTAACATGTAGGAGGTCTATAACTATAAATGTTAAATATTAAGATTGTCATTAAAATTAATCCAAAAGAGTACAGACTTGTTCCTGACTCGAATTTTCTTTTGTGTTTGATCATAAAAAGTTTTTTATTATTAAATGGTATAACTTTCAAAACATTCACTGTAGTTTTTGGCCAGGCAGCGCATAAGATGGTTGATATCCCATCATGTTCGCAGTGTTAATAATATCTACAAAGATATGTGTCATTTCATGACATGGTCTATATGTAGCCACGATTTAGCTCTAAATTGGACGGGCTACGTGTAGTCTGCTTTTAGCCCACCTGGCGAAATAGAGGCAAACCAGACCACCGATGAGCATAGCCAAAATAGCCTTAAAATTGTTTACATGTAATTTTCGCCCACGCAGCTTCTTGTCAGATGCAAGTAAACTTTTTAATAATTTAAATTAGCATTATTTTATTATTTTATTTTATTATTTTACAGCATTATTAAATATAGCATACAAAAGGGTTCATCATTTTTTTAATGCTGTCATTTATCCGTAATGTTTTAATGTTAAGTGTGATAACATGCTTTTGATTTGTATTCGATTTTTTTTCTTTTAAATATCTTAAGTTATTTAAAATATTTACATTTTTCATATTTATATTTAAGTGTTTTACACGAGAGAGCACTAAGTTTACTTGTCGGAGAGCAGCGGGCCAACAACAAACGATAAAGGAACAATGGCTTCTTAGATACAGAGAGAGCATGAGCTAATTGAATAGAATATATTTGTCATTGTACAAGTACAATAAGATTTATTTTGAAACTTCCAAATTGATAGTAAAGCTTAAGAATACAAATAATTCAAAATGGCGATATAAAATGATCAATTATAAAAAGTTTGCAGCAGTATTAAAATAGTGCAAATAGCTCAGATGTGCAATGCAGCATTAAAACCTAAACAGTACAAACAGAAAACAATGTAATAAACGGTAGGGGGTGAATTTATTATTCCATGTACATTTGAGGTTAATGTGTGTACTGGGCTACTTTTTAGTTACAGCAGCTATCACTGTGTTGTTATGAAGTCGGTTGTGCCAGACTATTTTAGAGGCAGAGACAGATTGTGGGGGGCACTGAGTTTTAAAGGGTTAGTGATTGAAAACTTGCAGCTCAATGGGCATCAGTGTTTAAGGTTGGTAAACACGTGTACACGGACGCATATAATACCACCCACCTGACATTGGCATGTTTCATATTTATATTTAAGTGCATTGTATTTATAACATTTTATTTTGTCATTAATTCTTTTGTATTTTTATTATTTTGTATTTTCTTTAAGTTCTTAAAAAAATTATTTTTTCTAAATAAAAGCTGTATGTCTGGATTGCCATTTTGTTGTCTATTAGATGTATATATGGTTAGACGTCTATTAAATTTTCACTGACAGCCCAAATTCAGCCTAGTTTTAGCCTAGACCCATTATCACCGTCTATTAGACGTATATATGTAGTCGTTTAATAGCGGTCTAATTGATGACTAGTCTATTCTTGGGCTATGATTAGACGTCTATTAGATTTTCACTGACAGCCCAAATTTAGCCTTGTTTTAGCCTAGACGTCTGGGCTGTGTTTAGACGGCTAATAGACTTGCTTGCTGGGTCAGGTTTGGCTATAAGTGGGCTACAGATAGCCGCTCTGACTACGAGCTAAATCGTGGCTATGCACAGGCTAAGCATTGAACATGTCAAAGAAATGAAACCAAACACCTTGTAAACGCTGTTACTTTGCTTACATGATGGAATATAATCTCACAAGTTATTTTCCAAAAAACGTCATGAAATCAAATTCAAGGTTATTTGGGCTAGAAGTGGGTTACACATAGCCGGACTATATCGGGTCTATATATAAACGAGTAATGACGGCTATTGCTTGCTGGGAAATGTCGCAATCAGGGCTACAGATTTGTTGGTGTGTTGCGCGGAAGTCATCTGCATCCTCAGAGCCGCTGCTTTCACTTCCATCCACTTCACGAGTGGACGCGTCTGAGCGCAGTTGATCGCTGTGACAAGATCTCTAAACTTCAGCTGCATGTGCAAGATGAGAAGACACTTACTTGGAATACTTGTACTTTTGAAATACTGCATTTGCGGTGATGTGCAGGACTTTGATGGAGACATCAAGGACTTCGTAGTTGGTAACAGTAAGTTGTTTGTTCTTACTGACCGTCGACTACATCAGACGAGACACGATCTACATGAGGAGAAGAGGAAAGACATCACTAATGCCACTGACCATAACAGAGTTAACACTCTGGTGGCTTTTGATGTGAACGGCACCCTGATAACGTGTGGGACGTTTAAAGAAGGGTATTGTGAAGTTCTTGACATAAATAACATTACAAACAGTATTTACTATGAAAGTAATATTTTGGTAGGACCGCGACAGAATGAGAAATCTGTTGCCTTCATAGCCGGGAGGTTCCTTTTGGTTGGGAAAAAGGACGACGATGCAAAAGCTCAAGACACCAGGTATTCTGTTGTTAGCTTGCGGAGCACTTTAGAGTCTCAGCCAGGTGGGATTTTCTCAACAATAGCGGAACTATCAAATGCCATCATTCAGAGCACAGTGAGAGATGTGGAGTTTGTTGATGGATTCCAGAGAGTTTCGCCCTCAGAATCCTATTTATTTCTCAATGCAAAGACCGACTACGAGAGGAAAGTGCTCGTCCTGAGGATGAACAGCTCAAAAGGGAAAAAGATAGACATAATCAAATCCCTACAGGCTGCAACGATACGATGCTGCAGTGATAAAGTTCGTCCAGTGCTCGTCGCCTGCACCGTTATTCCCTCAGTGAACGGTGTTATTTGGGCAGGTGTGTTCAGTGCGCAGAATCAGCAGGATCCGGAGAACAGCGCGCTGGCTCTGTACGACATCAGTAACGTTCAAGGCCGAGTGAAGGGCTTCTGCGCTTACGGTGAAAATCCGTGTGGTTCTGAGGTTGGAAAGTGCACATTCATATGGTTTTTACAAATGAAACAGTATTTTACCTTGTTAAGATAAGGATGCAAATTGTGACAATAGCCTATGTGTTGCATGATAACACGTAATTAATTAGGTAACTATTCACTAAAGACAAGAATTAAATAAAGTTGAGTTTTGTTGTTTGTGTTTCAGACTGATACTGAACTTCAGCCGCTCTCTGACTCTGTGGTGTTCAAGTACAGCTCAATGTCAGCAGTGGCAGCAGTTAGAAATGGATCCTGGATTGTGCTGTTCATAGGAACCAGTGATGGACAACTCATAAAGGTCTCCTTCATCTATCTGTCAAACATATGCCTTTACTTTCACTAGACTCACCGAGTTTTCGTTTTTAAACACCTGCCCACCATTTCCATTTACACATATTTTTATATATTATATTATATACATATTATTTTTTAGTATTTCTGTTTGTTTTTCTAGCTTGTATTGGATGAGAAATATAAACCAGGCTGTCCAATAGTGCTGTACAAATCTGATGATGAACGAGCAGTTCTTCCCAGAATGCACTTTGATCCAGTGGATTTCAAACACATCTACATCGCTCTGAAGAAACAGGTGAGGTTTAGAAAGCCGGTGCAATTAAAAAACAATAAAATATATATATATAGTATGCTAGGGAAGTTTAAAAAAATCATACAAATATTGAATAATGAATAGTTGCTGTAGGCTATATAACATTGTAATTATACAAAAAATGTTGTTTACACATTTATAAAATGAAGGGTGTAAATAAATCTATTTTTGATACATTTGCAAGTACTGATAGTGTGCGTGATTCATTGATTTTTGCTTTGATGTTTGACCTGTTTTTGGTCATTTATCCTACAGGTGTGCGAGGGTAATTGTTGTTTTAAAATGAAGAATTAAAAAGTGATACTGCTTTTCAGTCTCAATATGAAAGGAATAGTTTGCCCTATAGGCATACCTTTGTCCAAAAATGTAATCCAAGATCATTTTTTTATATGTGAAAAAGGGCAATTTTCCCATGCCCCACAGTTAGAAACCGCTGAATTAAGCTATCCAGAAGTTGCTAAATCAGGCAGTATGTCAAATACTTTACTGTGAATCACCATTCCTGTCGCTTTCTGCTCATGTTTTCGGTGCAGTTAAGAAGAGAATCTGTGGTTTCATGTGCTAAATACAGCACTCTGAAAGACTGCAGAGCTGCTCTGGATCCTTTCTGCGGCTGGTGTGTGAACACTCAGAGGTCAGCCTGCCTTTATTACATGTGATATTACACACATCACACATGTCTGCTCTAAGCTGCATCTACACTAAACATGCCTAATTGTAGAACAGCATGTTAACTTCTTATCACCTATATGGACAAGATGAGCAGTGTGCAAACAGTTCTGTAATGATATTTTGGTTGATGCTGTTTTTATCTAGATGTTCTACTCAAGATGAATGCCACTTATTATATAATTTATTAAATAAATTATATAATAAGTTATTGAAATCCTTTTAACTTCTGTTATTTTGTTTATTCTGCCTTTTTTTTATAACTGTGTAACTTTTGGTGTCCTGTAGAAGCCAGAGATTCTGTCTCTGGAGCCGAACAAGGCTTCTTTCCATGGAGCTCTAAGCTGCATCTACACTAAACATGCCTAATTGTAGAACAGCATGTTAACTTCTTATCACCTATATGGACAAGATGAGCAGTGTGCAAACAGTTCTGTAATGATATTTTGGTTGATGCTGTTTTTATCTAGATGTTCTACTCAAGATGAATGCTCAAATACTGCATGGGTGTCCATCCCAAAAAACTCTCTTCAGACACAGCTGTTTTCTTTTCAGATGGCAGAGAATTATTCTAGAAAGGTAAACATCAATATCTAAAACAATTTTCTTGAATTTTCATTTGGAAAAAACATTTACAAGATTACTTTTTACCAACCATTGTCCTCTTCTACACAGATTAATCTACATCTTATTTTGAATCTGGAGAGCACAGGAAATCCTGCCTTCTCATGCACCTTCACTAAAGAAAGTGTAAACCTGTGTGACGTGTCTGATCCGCCTGCAGTTTTCCCAAACTGCTCCTGTAGTTTTTCTGACCAGATGCTCTATACTAGAGGTTGGTTCTCCTTCAAAGAAGTTCTATATTTTCTAATATACAGTGCATTTACAGTATGTAGTCAGAATATGATTATTTATAATCAGAAACATTTGGCAATCTGTTCAGGTTTAAAAGTCTCTGCTACTGTTACTATTGAGGATCAGAACATCATAGAGATGCTGACACTGAGGAACTGCTCCCGTATCACAGATAATTCACCAAATGCTTCTTATACACAGTGAGAAAATCACAGTCTAAAATAATTTTGAAAGACTTCTTTGAACTTTTATTTCAAAAATATTAAAAATATGAATTTAATTTAGGTGTGTTCAGTGTATCTCATCTGGGTGTCACTGGTCCTCATTCTCCAAGCGTTGTGAATGGACACTTGGACCTGGACCACAGTTAAACATACAGGTGAGATGGCGTGTAACCTATGATCCAGTGATTCAGTATATGTGTACTGGGAAATAGCATACCTTAATAAATTCTTATTAATTCATTGTTGATAGCTAAACTCATTGTGTTGACTGAAGTGAACTCAGGAAGTACATGATCTGCTCTTTCTCTAATCTTTAGGATGCATGTAAACATCTACTCTCTGAGATGGTCTACGATGTAAGTGTCATACTGATTATGTGTGCAACTTCACAGAATTGGGATATTGTGTTTTCAGTATTAAGTATTATGTTTTCAGTTTTCACTGATTTAAATGATCACTTACAGTTCTCAGCCCAGCTGCACTGGAATACATCCCACAGTCAGCTGGAGCAGGTCAGACCATTTCAGACCACTATCAGATCAGCTTGCACATCCCATCAGCACCTCAAGAGGACAACTTCACATTTTAATTAGTGAATCCTATGTCATACAGAACATTTTAGTCATGAAATTTGCAAGGATGCTGTTAATGTGGAAAAATAAGATTTGCAACAGATGAACAGAACAGATGAAAAAAACATATGCGAGACAGCAAAAATGAAAGCAGAAATGAGAGTCATTGGGTCATTTCCTGCATGCTTTGTCTGCACTGGAATACATCCCACAGTCAGCTGGAGCAGGTCAGACCATTTCAGACCACTATCAGATCAGCTTGCACATCCCATCAGCACCTCAAGAGGACAACTTCACATTTTAATTAGTGAATCCTATGTCATACAGAACATTTTAGTCATGAAATTTGCAAGGATGCTGTTAATGTGGAAAAATAAGATTCGCAACAGATGAACAGAACAGATGAAAAAAACATATGCGAGAAAGCAGAAATGAGAGTCATTGGGTCATTTCCTGCATGCTTTGTCGTATTTCTGAGATCTGCAGTTTACTAACTCACATGTGACCTTAGACTAGTCTAGCTTAAACTGTTAGAGGTTTAGTGAGAGCAACCTGCTTTCTGACAGCCAGGCTTTTCTTAATATTGTTTCACTTCCGTTGGTTGCTGAAATGTGTGGTACTGTGTGTGCAAAATATGCAAAAATAAGTGGGGGAATTCAAATGTTAATAAATATGTTTTTTTTTAAATCATGTATTACTTGCTGAAGATGTTTTAAATGTACCTTCATGCAGTGGTGGAAGGAAGATTCATGTTCAGGGCAGCAATATGGAATTAGTGGAGTCAGTTACTGTCCTTCCCTCTAATAAAGTGCTGAAAACACAGTACGACACAAGCTCAGGGGTAAGACATACTCATTACTTCTGCACTTGCTCACAGCATGATGCACAGAGATCAGCTACTTACAACTTCAGAGTAAGAATCACCTTACCTTACTGACGTCTAAACTGTTGTGATGCCTAAACATTTCAAGCAATTGATTTATTTATTTATGATTTTTTATTTAAGTTTATTTATTTTTTTATTAATTTTTATACAAAATATTATAGAATTTTAATATTTTCAATTTAATATTGCTTGTCAGTTAACATGAATATAATGATCAGCTTTTTTCTGTCAGAATTTTTATATCGACTAAAGAGACTAAGTGTATTCACAGCTTACATGCAGCTTTAAATGTCACATGTTTACATGTAGCTTCAAATGTCACATGTATTAGAGTCATATATTCGTTGTCTCTCTTTCTCAGGACATGTGGTTTCACTCCCACCCTTATGATGGCGGTGGTCAGTTTAGCTTCTTGTTGAATGTTGGGAACGCCAATGTGAACTGTGTGGATTATTTCTCCTACAAGCCTGATCCAGAATTCACTGGATTCACCACCTTACAGGTGGCCAACGATCTACAGGTGAACATTAAGGTGAGTTTAATGATACCGCGAGTTTAACTTTAGTCTACTCTCTGCACTTTTGGTATGAGTGCTGGCCCCTGGTTTTAAAACTCTAAATTAACTTTTACATTTATTATCAGCATGAGAAACTCACAACTTCCAAACCATCCCACACTCTCTGTTCCTCAGAAAATGAACGATAATTTGAATTTGAATATCAGTGAGGTGAATGTAACGGGAGTCCAGGGAGATCAGCAGTATCGGTGTGTTTTGGAGAAGATTGAGTCCAATGCCGTCATCTGTAAGATTAAAGGAGAATCAGGAGCCGTCCCAGCAGTGGACTCACTCACTGTGATTGTACATATTCATGTCTTTATGCAAATTGTCTTAATTACTTATTGTAAATTATTTATGACCCTTATAAATCTTACATACAAAGTCTTCCTTCGTTTACTATAATTTTCAGATAAATGTTGGGAATTTTTCTAAAAACCTTGAGTCGCAAAGTGGTTTAATATTTTTACCCGTCCTTGCATTGATTCTGCTCATAATTCTGGGTGCTGTTGGTAAGTGATTTCAGATTTGCATCACATATTTTCACAATAGTCCTGCAGGTATTAATGAATGTGTTTGCTCCTCTGTCTAGTTGGATTCATTGTTCACCGTAAGAGCCAGAGACAAATGAATGAGAGAATGAACAAGCAACTAGAAATGCTGGAAAGCAACATCAGAAGGGACATACGACAAGGTTGGTCATCTTTGAAATGCTGGTCTCTGTGGTGTTTGCAAGCATCACTATTGCTCATACTGAAGGTTAGTGTTATGAACACACAAGTAACCCTAAATATTCAACTTTGGTGTGTAACTCCTCCCATTTGTGCACAGGACATAAATGATGCCTCAAATCATGCGACTATTACTTTTCTAAGCAATATGCATGGCAGTCCATAAAACATTTTTTTAACAACTTACATTGAAAAAGGATCACGAGCAATATTGGGGTCCAGAATGTCATGGAGACTTTGGGTGTTTTTTTTTTTTTGTTTTTTTTTAGCTTGTAAGTAACTACATAACCACCACAGGTTATGTAGGTTATTTAAGTAGTTTGCAGGCAAACGTGCCTCTGTAAACATGAAAATGTCATTACTCCCTTAAATGCTCATATTGCTGTCATACTTCATAGAAATGTTTCAAGTCTTGTTGTGTGTGATTACATTATGCATTTATGTTTTGTTTGTTTGTTTGTTTGTTTTGACAGGCTTTGTTGACTTGCAAACAGAAACATCGGATTTAATCGATAATGTTGGAGCCATACCCTTCCTGGATTACAAGCACTTTGCCTCAAAAATCTTCTTTCCTGAGGTTCAATATTTGTATCTGTCTGAAATTCCCTTTGTTCTTGTAGAGTTGCTATATATGTTTGTTTGTTTAATATATATTTTGTCATTTTCACTAGGCTGGTCCTCTGGCAGCAGTCATGATCAGAGACATTGGGCAGGTAAGATGCTGCAGTGTCTTTAGTGGTATATATCACATTGTACAAAACGAAATGTTTTATCTCTGTCTTTTTTATGGTCAGGACTCTGAGCAGACAACTTTAGATGAGAAATGTCAGGCCTTTGCTGCGCTGATCAGAGATAAGCAGTTTCTCAGTTGTTTCTTGCATGCATTAGAGGAACAGAAAAACTTCAGCATAAAAGACAAGTGAGTCAAAGACATTTAAATGTATGCATGTAGCAGACACTTTTGTCCAAAGCGAGTTACAAAAGAGGAAGAAGATGCTTTGAACATATTCTCACCTCTGTTTGAAGATGACTTGTTAAACCTGGTCACAGGCCCTTATGGTTATTTTCAGACCTTGGCTTGATGCCTGTTGCTTAGAAGTGTAAACAGATAATGTTTTGTGGGTTTTTTTTAGAACAGCAGATCTTCCTCTTTGAGGGGGCTCAAAAGTGTCTACCCTTAAAATGACCACCACACTGAAACACAGATATATGTGTACACTACACTATGGCGTTATTTTACTGACAAATGTCGTTCATCATGACTTGCCTAAAATAAAATCTATAGATATAAAACTGTTCAAGCATATAACAATGTTTGAACGTTAAACCTAGATAAATGTGCGCTGTATCCAATAGTTTGTGCGGAGAGTGGAAGCTAAAGCGGGCTTTGCAGGACATGGAGGCGCCAGCGCATCACTTGTGTTTTTTTCAGTGGATACGCCAGTCATTTTTACTCATAAAGGTAAGAGTAATACATCATTCGTAACTGTAAAGGGTCTATTTTTATTTGTGTGCACTCACAATATTAACAAAACGTTGTGCTTTTATAAAATAAAGAAGACAAACACGATGTGCTTTCTGCCGTCTCGGTCTTCAACAGGAGTGCTTCACAAAAATGGACCGAAACTCAGCGAATACATGCCTCACAGACATGATAAATATATCTATAGATAAGCTTTAAATTACTACTTAACGAAATAAAACAAATCAAAAACAAAAACTCTTTCATTATAATCATAATCCGTAAAAATGCACTTCTCTCTAAAGGCGCGTCTGAGCAGATGGCGAGTCAGGATCGACAACTTCATCCTTGCGACACCGACTCAGAAAACACTAGTTTATTAGTAAATAATTA